ATTGATATAGAATCCTTTTTTTGTTCGATCATATGAATTAGGGAAGCATTACTTGAATCTGAGCATGTATGTAATATATACATCTTGGCTCGCCAAGACTTATTAGGCCAATGGACAGGACGTCTGGGATTGAGAAATCTCAAACGTCTGGTTGGCATGATGAGCACGACAGAAGTTGTGGACGAATGCGAATGTGTATGAAGACCAAGATGGTGTGGCCTTTTGTGTGGTCGCAGTCTCCTTTCGTTGTATAGAGGTTGTTTGACCTTGTTTTCGAAACTGGTCATATTGGTAGAAAGACTTATTGGAACGCACCTAGTCCGGGGTCCATTGTCTGTATGATCATTGATGGTGTGGCCTTTTGTGTGGTCGCAGTCTCCTTTCGTTGTATAGAGGTTGTTTAACCTTGTTTTCGCATGGTCATATTGGTAGAAAGACTTATTGGAACGCACCTAGTCCGGGGTCCATTGTCTGCAGCATCGTTTCCAGAGTAGGACCGTGGACGTGGTACATTCCCAGACGTTTCGCCGGCATCGCCAGTATCGCCACGTCGCAACTTGGTCATATTGGTAGGAAGACTTAGAGGAACGCACCTAGTCCGGAGTCCATTGTATGCATCAAGAAGTTGTTTGACCTTGTTTTCGCAACTCAGTCATATTGGTAGGAAGACTGATAGAAACGCACCTTGTCCTGAGTCCATTGTCTGCATAATTAGAAACTCGGTCATATTGGTAGGAAGACTTAAAGAAACGCACCTAGTCCGGAGTCCATTGTATGCATCATCGTACCAAAGTTGAACCGTGGACGTGAAACATTCCCAAACATTTCGCCGGCATCGTAGTCGGCATCGTCAGTAGCACCATATTACAGCTCGTCAAAGAGACAAGTGAAGCCGATCCTTTGACCAAACGTATACCAAACAAATATGGTATCTCTCCTTCCGCTCTGGGTTATCTGCGTTTCCGGTAGCATCCTATTATCCCTGCACTAATGCAGTTTTTACCGTGTTTATTTCGATAGTGTGGTTGCTCCTTTGAGCGACATGACACTTTTAATCCCCAACTCT